AGTATATATATATATATATATATATATATAGGAGTGTATATAAAACTCAGCCATTTTTTTCTTTCAATTTTGACAAGAAAATTCGAAAGCGAAGCAATTTGAAATTTTAATGTAAAAATAGTGATAATTCGAAAACAATAATGCATTTCCGGATCTATGTTCATATCAATTTTTTTCTGTTTTTGGATCATTCATTTCGACTTTTGAAACATCCTGTATTATGAATTTGTTCACCACAGAGTTAAAAATAGAGGTAGTCGGAGTCCAAGACCTATCCAGACAGACTTGCATAGCAGCCATGTGTATATAACCATATGTATAAGGAAAATTACTCAATCACATTTCTATCATAAAGACACATGTAAAATGTGATTGGATAATTTGGTAAAAACCTTAAAATCCTAGCGAGACAGATGAAAACTTATACGAGAGAAATCGATCTTTGCCACATTCGTTTCAGTCAGTCTTTTACGTAAATACGCGTCTGTGATATCCTATTTGTGTCGTGTAGTAAAAGGTGTCGGTAGTACACACACACACACACACACACACACACACACATGCACGTATATGCATGTTTTATTATGATTCCATTTGTGTACGATTCCTTTGAAACGAATATCGAAATTTTAAATCGCCTGTTGCGAACGTGCCTTTAGCTTATGCTGCTTATGTCCCTCCATTCCTAAATCCGTGGTTTTCATCAGATCGCGCAATGACAACCGACTTAATTATACATGTGTAAAGTAGTAAATCAATTGTATCACATTGTATCACGTAAAATGATCTACATTTGCGTGCCGGCGTACCTCGGCGATTTTTCCAAGTTTGTCGTGCTTCTTGTTTCCGTCGTGCGCAGAAATTCCTGATAGAGTCTAGCGCAGAGCTCACCGCCCCCTTTACTCCTTTCGATCTTGTATTCGTCCTCTCCGTCTGACTGCTTTTCGCTTCTTTTCATGCTGTCTGTGCTTCTCTTTCTCTGCACACTGTGACCGGCGATTGTCGTCTCACCGGCCGTTTTAGGTCTTTCAATCTTCGAAAGCATCTTTGTCGTTTCTTCTGCAAACTTCCGAAAATATATTCACTTCCACTTTTTCGCCGATTTCTGATTCTAAGCGATAATGACTTTATCACAATTTTATGTTGTGATACTGAATTTACTCGCAACCTGTTGTTTTGGACCTCCCCCCCCACACAATGTTTTGCTGGGTTTCTGCTTTGCTTTTTGCGCCAGCAATTCCGCACGTTCTTGCATTAACTTCTGCGTTTGTCGTTGTTGCGGCTGCGTTTGTTGTTGCTGCTGTTGCGTTTGTGTGGTACCTGTTATACATTTGCATCTACGGAAGGAGTCGTGTGAGCATTTTTTTTCTACAAGATTTCCTAAGTACAAAAAGGAAAGAAAGTTACCCAGGGCAACATGGCACGGTGACCCCTCCGCGAACGAATTGCACGATGGCGGGATAACTCCATTGTGACGAACGTTGGAAGCAAGACGCACCGGACATGGCACTTCCTTCGGTAATGGGAAAAGCGGGGGGAAGTTGAATTTGTTGATCGCAAAACTCGCATTTACTCAATGTCTGCATCGGCGTTTCCTTCGTGACCGTTTTCGGAGTCTAATCTCGTCCGGAAATATTCGTATGAAGTTAAAAGGAAGATTTTGTTTCCCCCCCCCCTCCCCCCGAAAACTATCGATATCGTTAATTTATATAAATCTCCGTTTCCCTATTTGAAGTGATACAGGATAGATTTATTTCCCGAGTAAGATAAAAAGGAAATTTGTGTGTTGACAAGTGTTGAAGTGTTGAATTTAACGCTCGAATATGATGAGCTCGGAGCTTACTTGACACTCCCCGACGGACAGCTTCGGTTCTGTTTGAATTTGGGCGATGCCGAGATTGCGTAACGATGGTACGCAGGTGGGACAATCGACGTACTCTCGTCGTCGGGGATATTCGACTTTCCGATAACAGCGATCGGGCAGTGCAATGCCTTTTAATTCGTAGGGCACTCTAACGTCACTCAGACTAGTCGTTACATCGTGCTTCATTATCTATATTTACGCTCGAAAAGTATAAATTAACATTATATAAAACAGCGATTTTTAATATGCGATTTCATCTAATGCGAACTCATCTAATCTAACATATCAGAGTCGCTGCTTTCCCTCTTTGGGAAAAAATTAAATCATGCAAAAAACGGTAAATGTTACCTCTTTGTAATTAATAAAAAATTAATAAACATTTTCCTTACATTTTCTAATAATTTTACGTGTGTTGAAGACTTTTACAAGTACTCACTTCAAATTCTACTAAGCTTGGTTTTTTGTCTTTATATAAAAGTTCTTGCGCGCAACAGACTTGTTCGCAGACTGAACATTTTCTTTTCCAAAATCTAGAAATGTATATTTTTTAAATTATATTATAATTCTATGTTAACTGGTCTACCTCGTTTCTTTGCTCGTTTCGAAAATTTTAAGATCGAAACTTACCCGAATATCATGATGATGTCAATCAAAAAGAATAATGCTGCCAGCGAACATAGTGTAATTGCTATTATTTGCACTATCGATTGTACATAACCGTAACAAATTAACAAAATCCCACCAATGGCGAAAAATATGAAACCAAGGAAAGAAAATATAGCCATCTGTAACGATTTATGTATAAAAAGTTTTTATAATTATAACATTATATTTACTTCTTTTTCTCTCAGTGAAAACAGGAAATACTTTAAAAGGTCAATGTTTTGTTAATAATAAATACATAATTTTTTTATATAAATAATAATAATAATAATAATTTTTTTTCAGTTTGTTATTTTATTACGAGTTGATAAATGGTTGATAACCATTCTGCACTCTTGATAAACACTTAAACATTTCAAAGATAACAAATTTTAAGTGATATTTCACCACTGATCTTGCTGAAAAATAATGCGTGTAAATTACCGAGATAATGTGCAGGGCGCCCCCGGAAAAATAACTGATCAAATCGACAGCTAAGATGAAAATGTATATGCCTGATAGGACGATCAAGAGGATGCAGGACAGCGCGCTTATCGGCATGGGATCCATAACGATCATATAGACCATGAATACGAACAGTAACAGTACTGTGAACTGCGTCGAAAGGAAATTTATAGTATAATAAGAAGATCCATCGATCCATTTTAATTCCGATATTAAACGAATGGAATGATAAGATATTCAATACGCACAAGCTGAAATATCCTTAGTGGTTTTATTATCGTCGACACGCATCTGCTTGTTTTGTGCTGCAACGTTCGATCCTCGCAACTCGTTTTCATTGGCATTTTTACCTCCGTTATCATTTAGTTCCTGTCTGTTTTATTTTTACTTTGCCTTTTATGGATGTTTAACACTGTACGACGTATTATAACATTATATTTTGATATTACATAAATAATGTAAAACGAATGTAAAACATACATACGTGGAAAAATAATATTTAATACTTCTTGACAGTTATGTTGACAGTTAAGAATGTCTTTTTGTTTCTCTCCGATTGGAATTGTAGAATGACAAACTTCACGTAAATTTGTTTTGTATTTTTATCTGTGGCTTTGAAAGAAGAAAAGTAAGGAAAGGATATAACTTATATATATTTCGCTTATTTTTTATTAAATTTATTTTATTTCTTCTCTTTTCTCTAAAAATATTTTTACAAATTTTATTATAATATAGGATAGTTTGATTTAATCTACATATTACATTTTATCGACATATAATAAGTATAAAGTGAAATAAAGTGCTCGTCTAAAAAAATTACACTTCGTGTTTCGATAAAATGAAATAAATATTTAACAAATTTTCTTTAATTTTCACATCTTTATTTTATTTTTATGTAAAATACAAATATTAGATAAAAAAGAAAATATATACTGGACACAAGTTTCATGAATAAATTTCGCATGTACTTTATCTTAATATTAATAATCTTTGCTATAGTGCAAATTTAAAATCTATTAGCTACAACACGATAAATAGTAGATGTAATTTAGAAAAATGAAAAAGAAAAAAAAACAGAATGAAACAGATGAAATATAATGTAGATAGATATAACGTAGGTAGAAAGAGATCTTTTTCATTCCACTTAACTTAAGTAGTTACGAAATGGTGCAATAAATAAACTTAAAATTTGTTCACTGCAACATTTCGTAAAAATAAATGCTTTGGATACAAAAATGGACGGATTCATATGCGAATGGATACCTTATCCAAATAACAAAGAACATTTTAACGACACCGCTGCTGTCATGCGCACAGATTACAATTTGGTCTCCTTATACTAAATAATTAATGTAACTGGTTATATTATTAATTCTATTCTAACAGTAGTTACACGCATATACATATGATGTTACGTGCTACTATCATAATAACACAAATATGTATAATCTTACTATTTCTAATATGACTTCATATGTATGTATACTCGTCATACGATAATCTTATAAAATTAATATTTCTAAGAAATTTTACAATCCATTTCACAACGTATCTTTCCTCGAAACAAATATATCCATTGAAATCGTAATGTGATTCATTAACATTGATAAATCCTTTTTTTTGTTTTAAATTTCTTTATCAGTTATCGGTTCTCTCGCGGTGCGACATGGGTTGTGTGACGTCAGAGGAGCGAGAAATGACATGTAAAAAGTTTCTTGCGTTCTATAGCCTTATCTTGTACTTTTCCCTTAAAAACATGATATTCTTTCTTCTAATTATATACTTCTTAAAACTTGTAAAAAGTATCAGAAAGTAAGATATCTATTTAACAAATCACGTAAAAGCATAAAGTAATTTTTGAAATAATGGTCACTGCTCAGCTATCAGAAATAACTAGATCTAGTGATCTGGTAATTCAATATGGCTGCGGAGGGACAAACCTCTCTTTTACCTTAAAATCCTTTTTGATTTATAAAATACTGAAACCTCAGATTAACATTTATGAAAGTTTACAAAGTTTGAAACTGTTTACAATAAATTTTAAAATAGCAATAGACTTTGACGGAACTTTAGGAGTCAGCACGATAAATAATGCACATTAAATAAAAATTGATAATTTGATGTTTCGATTTGATAATCATTAATTATACATAGTTCGAAACATTTTGATTCAATTTTGAGCCATCTTCAGATATATTATGTAACGTTGAGAGCTTCGCATATAATCGAAATCTTTTGTGCATGTCCAGATCTCAAATGTCAAAGGAAAACCAATTGTAGCATTTCAAATATATCATCCAATCAGTTCCACAGCCAAATGGAACAAAGAGCTGTATATATCTTTTTTTTTAGGATTGCAGTGAAACGCATAAAATACTCGATTGTATAATAACAAGTTAAATATAGTCATAAAAGTATCGAATAAAAACATATAAGAAATAAATTGATCAGATTAAATCAAAAGACGGTTACAAGATTTAAAATGAAATAAACAGTAGATTTAAAAAATTGAAATTGTAATCACAATCCGATCCGAAGATCTTGAGTTAAATTAAAAAAAAAATTAAGGTTTTTTTTTTTTGAAATGGACTGTTCATAGCTTTGGCGATTCTTGCTTTGGCGAGTCTTTCAACTCGCCTGGATCGGACTTTAAGTGAAAAACGTATTTATTACGCATATCTTACGATGGCGATAATTTCCGCGAGAAATACTGCCGCGTTCACAAATGTAAACACGGCTGCTGATATGAGCATGTCCATGTACTGCTTACTAGGATGGATCTCATTGTTGTGCATGTAATAGTAAGGACCGTTCATATGGCGCCAATTATGGACCATCAGGCTTCCGGCCACTATATGCATAAATGCACCGACAGACGCAAACATCAACAACTGTAACAATGAATTAATCATCAAATTAAATGCACAGCTTTCGATATAGCGTGATGAAAAACTTTTGCCACTCTATTTTTAATTTTTAATCACTGACGGAAACAAACAAAAGGACGCACGCAGATACGCTACCGTGACTCTTGAAACTCAATTTCACAGTCAATTACAAAATACTTAAATTCGAAAATATACATTTCTCAATATTTACAAAGTTTTATTTTAGTAACTTTGTTAATAAAAAATTTTTATTTTAACTTAAGTTTAAATTCAAGAGAAAAATATTTATTCTTAATCTTTTCTTGCTTTCTTGCTCAATTAAATGCATGCCATTTAACATTGGCGTGATGAGAAACTCTCGCTACTCTATTTTTAATTTTCAATCACTGAACTGATGAAATGATAGAAACAAATGTAAGGACAAGGCAAATATACTAGTCCTTGAAACTCAATTTTGCGATCAATCACAAATTTTGTAAGGTTTTAGTATCTAGAAAATTTTATTTTACCAATTTCTTAATGAGAAACTTTATCTGAACCATTATTTTAAAACAATATAATTTTTCAATGTCATTTTTTCTCTCATGTTAACTTACATAATTAATGTATTAAAAATATTTATGAAATTTATATCATCGCGAATCTTATTTAATCGATCGCTTGAAATCATATTGAAATTATATGCGAAAAGACTTGTATTATTTCTTTGTACTTATTCTCGCGTCATATATATATATATATTCCTATAAAGGTGAGACATTTTTCTGTTATTTGTTCAAGACATGGCTACAAATGTTATTGATTATACATGATCTCGTGATGCGATACGTCGGCGCGCGTACGAGATTTGCGCAATTGAAAGATTTTTAAGCGCGTTATGATTCACGAGTTGACACGCGTGCGATACGCCGTCCGATCTTGTCGATCGCGCAATTTCCATGTCGGAGACATATGTTAAACGATGTGTAAAACTACACATTCAAACTGTAGCGCACTTCGCGCAACAACGAGGCCTTGATGGCGTTCGCCAATTAACGCATACGCCGCTGCTGCCGCGCCGTAATGACTCAGCTGTACAAATGTACTACTAGCCGCGGCTTATGGCGTTCTTACGAACATAATATAACAAGGACATATATAACGTGTGTCTATAAGCGTTGGCTGTTAATCTCTGTTCGGAAAATACTCTGGCGGAACGATAACCTTTTTGTAAAAAAAAAAAATTCGTCATCCGTATATATAGGTGTCTTGTATTACCCCCGTCGATATTCATTTCGGCGAAAATTAATCTCTTTATAAAGAGAGGAAGATATTCGATGATTAAACGTTAAATAATTTTTAAAAATAAAAATTTTCTATATGATTAATTAAAAAAAATCGATCCTTCTGCTTTTCTGCTTATCAAAAATGTTGAAATATTCAGTGCGACAGAGATTATCCTTGAAATCATCTTATAGTCTTTTACTCTTACCCCCCCACCCCCCCCCCTACTATCCCCTCCTTTTACCGCACGATCGAGGATGTACAGATGTATGGACGTGCTCTTCTTTGTGAAGGAGCCGCGGATAAGGGAAATGCGCCACAAGGGAGAGGCGTAGAAGTTTTAGAGTGAATTTTATTTAAATATTAATATGATTTATATATAAAGGAGGGGCATTACCGTTCTTTTCGGCACGCGATCGCCCAGCATGTGACCGATGATGAAGAGCGTATTGATGAGAATATAGCCGGCGACCGTGACGTAGATAGTAGCTGCATCGTCGAGCTTGAATCGTGCCTTGTTGAAAACCCGTTGGAACGAATTTAACGGATCGACTATCAAACCGATTGCAAAAATGGCCAGAATCTGCATATCAAAAACATATATGCATTTAATACTATTCCCATTGGATGTATGGCAATTGAAAAAAGAATAACGTAAGCCTTGAAGAATAATATAGGCCTTCAAGTAATGCGTAGTAAATAAAGGAAAAAAAAAACACATCGTCGGATATTATCGTAGATCAAGAGTCGAGAAATCAAAACAGAAAGCTCGCTCAAGGTTCGCGAGCTATTTTGAGCTAAAATTGATTTTAGATGATGAAAAATCATGATTCAATCAAAAATAAAAAAAAAAAATTGTAAAGTATATACATAATAATAAAAAGAAACCAATTCTTAAATACAATCAATTTCATATCATCGTCTTTCTTGAATTTTTGCGCGGAAAAGAAATTTCGACAACAGAGAGATACAGAGAGATACATTCTAATCTACGATCTAACATATACTTTCTATTCGATCAAGTTAAAAAGGAACTCGCCACTTCGAGCACTTTGATGATGATGGGTAGATGACTTAGAACTTTGTGCCTCTTGGTGGTCGGCTGTTGGCTTTGCTGAGCTTCGTCCGCCATTCTAACCCGTCGATGCTTTCCTCTTCCGTCGCCCAGTTTGAAAGATTTTCAATTCGATTTGATGACGATCGATTCTTCCTTTCCTGGCGTGCCACCCCACCTTCGGTCTTAGCGACCCTAAAACGAGAAACGCGATAGACATCGCGCGTAGGGGAGCCGCAGATAAATCGGAGGGTTGAAGTCGTAGTATATACGGCGAAAACAAAACGGATTATTTGGACGATAAGATATTACA